GAAAACATTAAGTCCTGAGTAGGAAAAATCATAATACTATTTATTCCACACATAAATTAAACCTCCAAAAAATATGATAGAAATATTGCTTAGTATTTTAAAAAAAAAAGTGAGCAGTTACTTTCAAATAATCAAACTGTTAGAGAGAAAAAGCTTGTCCTGAGGGGAAACTGCAATCATTAACAAAGATTTGGATTCACAGAAAATGGTGTGGATCTTTAGTCATGTTTCAGACGGTGGAGAGAGAAAAAAAAATCCTAAATGTCTTGCTTATTAAGCTAGTCATGCATTTCACTGCAGGTTGTAAAGCAGTAGAACATGCACAAGGGGCTCATAAGCATATTTTAGAGTTAGGGAATATCATTTACACCATTTTTATACTGTCAATATCACCCCTAGAGAATAAGATTAAGCTTTAAACTACTGTAAAACTACAGTTTTGCTCACCTTTGTATAATTTCATTTTTAATAGAATGAGACTCACATAAATATTTGATTAATGGATATACCTGATAAAATACTACATTTATTGCACACAGATTTATTTAAATCTTAAACATATACAGCACAGCAAAATACTATAAAGTGATTTTGTGGTTTTCAGTGAAGTGCATTGAGTGGATTTTGAAATTTCTTTGTTGGAATGAAATTTTGACCAGGTCTTATTGTTTTTTCTGTGCAGCCTGAACACTGATGCCGGAACTCCAACTGATCATAGGCACGAATAGGGTGCTGTAGCAGTTACCTGCTTATCTAGTGTTGTACTTCTTTAGAATTCATACTCAAATTCTTAAAATCTGGATCTTTCAATTACTTTTGTTCATGTATGAGACTTGCACATACATGATAAATGGGATAGAGAATGGGCTTCACAAATTTTTAGAGGATAGTCATAATGATGATGGAACAGATTTTACACATTCTTTAACCTCTTTCTTCCAAGGAATTCATAGTGCTTCACAAACATTATCACAATAATCCACAAAGCATCCTAGCGGGGTAAGTAGGAGGAAGAATTTTTAAAGTGGAGAAAGTGCTATTTCTAAATGGTGTGAGAAATTAAAATGCAGACACACCCAATTTAAGCTGTGATTACTATGAAATAGCTTTATATTTGTCTGACCTAGGGATTATATCAGGAAATAATTCACTTGTGTAAATAAGTGATCAATATTTGTTATCACTGGTTTGGAGCTCACCTTTCTAAAAGAAACACTTTGCCTATAGTGTTCTTGAAGGGAATATAGGGAGCTCTAGTTTCTAGGTTTTACCACACCTAGTTTTTCTCTTGAATTATTGATGGTGGGGCAAGTCATTTTCCTCTTTCTACTAGTACATATTTTATCTGTAAAGAGGGTAATAATAATTTTAAAAAATTACTAAAAATACTCCCTTTATTCTTTTCTTCTCTTTTTGCACCTAATCTTGCTTCCTTTCTATTAAGCTATCAACAAACGAACTGAATGAAAAAAAAATCTATAAACATAAGGAAGGAGAAAGGCAAATATAATGGGCCAATCACATCATAGATATTGTCTACTGTTGAGCCTCTGGCCTAGACATGACCAGATGTCTAATGTGTTCAAGTGATTAGGACCAAATGGGTCATTTGTCTTGAATTGCCCAAGAGATGGCCTAAAATATTTTCAACTGTTTACCTAGTGGACGTACCTAATGGCAGATACCTATCATCATCATTTTCATGCCTCCTACAAATCTAATAGAGACGTATTCCAATTGGTAGTAAATGGCACTTTAGTAATCAGAAAGATGTAATGCCCCTCCTAAAGTGCCCTCCTTATACACAATATTCGTTGTGCTGTTTTTACATCTGCCCTAGAATTAAGTTCAGATGTGACAAAAACACTACTCATCTCATGTAAAAGGCCAACTGAGTTTTTATCTGTTCGCCAATAATCAGTTCCTATTAGTACTTGCAATGTTTTCTATGTTGGCCAGTCAACCTACACACTTCAAAATGTTACAAAAACTTTTATCATTGTGATATTTTAGTTGTTCTATGCTCTGAAGGATTTCATCTAAGGTACAGACTTGGCTTTGAAGGATTTCTTCTAAGGCACAGACTTGGTTTCTGTGGCTCTCTACAGACTGTAGAAGTCTGTTTATATAAGAGTAGGTGTGCTGTTTCAGCTCAAGTCAACAAAATAATGTCAAATTAGAAATAAGTAATGAAGAAGAAATGAAGCAAATCAAATCAGAATGTTAAATAATATTAACTATCTGAACCAAATAACATCTAAACATGTCTCATTATACAGTCACACAGCATACATTGAATTTTAAGGAAAATTGGGCAGCATTTTCAAATTAACTAAGTTGCTGGACATCCAAACTAGTGTCTTTTTACATATAGATATGTTTAATATGTGTTTTTCTTCAGCCTTTCTCCATGTATCTGCCTCCTTCATGACATCTGATTTTAGTAATTACTTCTCCCAAGCTTCAAGTAGATACCACAGAAGACACTTCTCACATTTACTTGAGTTTGGGCATCTAGTTGTGGTCCTTTAAGGATAACTCAACTGATGAGCAAAGGATTATCTTCTTTACTGAGGAGGCTACTCCAACATTGTACATCATATGCCCATGTCACATAGTGCTATGCTAAGGGAAGGACTGCGTGAACCTGCATTTTTACTTCTAAAATGGTCACATTTGTGCAAATTGAATTCTCTTTTTTACCTATCTGATATATCTTCAAGCAATAATTTCTGTCAGCTCTCCCCAAATGTCAGTGTATGTCCTTCCTTATAAGGTCCCAAGCTCCCTAAAATTTCTCTGGAGAGGCTTTGTTCGTTGCTCTTTCTGATCTTTAATCTTGTTTGCATCCAGAATACATATGAGATCATCTCTGTTTGGAGTTCAAGTATGAACCCTCTTAAAAACATGAAACATTCAATTACTAATTAGCTGTTTCCTATTCCTAATGAAGTGAGCATGCCAGGTTTGGATTAAAATTCAGCTACAGCTCTCCTCTGTTTATGGTTCCAGATGTTTTTATTTTATCTAGGAGTTTACTTTGACAGCTACTACTAAATGATAAATCACTCATATTATAGCTGAAATGCATTTTGAAATTGAAATTTGGCAAACTTGGAGACTGCTCCAAAGATCAGTGTCAGTTAGCAGGTCAATACTGGCTCCTTCATTTGGTATTGGCATACATAAAATAGTAACAGAATATGTGTCTACATTATACAGCATGCTACACAGGAGTCTATTTTGCTACTATCCTCAAAATTGGGAGCAAAAGTTTTCCTACTATGAAATCACAGTTTATTGTATTCAGGGTAGAAAAACAGACTCATATTAATACTGTCTTTTTCATGCTAGCATAGTTTTTCTTTGGAATTTGGAGCTGCTGTGTAAACTATTCCTGGTAGATCTTGTAAGCAGGCACATTAAATGAAGGGCATGAGCAGATATATTTGTCCCTTTTAATAAAGAAAAAAAATAAACATAATAAAGGAGGTGATTTTCCAGAAACTACATTTTTCTGAAGGACAAATGGTGATTACCTATTGCTATATGTTTATGTACCTTTTTTAGAGGACATTACTTGTTTTGTCATTTCTTTCAAGTTTGTAATGTTCACAATTTGTATTGCATGATTTAAGCTTTAGCTGTGTTGTACAAATTTCAATCCTGGTAAAATGACTGTCTGCCATTTGATATTGAAGATCTTTCCTTTGACATTTAGGCTGTGTATACAGAGGATGAGGTAGACTGGAAAACTGAGCGACTATCTGGTCAATTTTATCAGAGTAAATATTCTTAGATTACACAAAGGAGTCTGAGCAATTCTCTGGGGTGACAGATTACCAGTTTCCAAAATCTCAAGCTTTGTTTTCTTCTGGTCTCTAGAAAAGTTCAGGTGAATTCCATGAGCTCCTTATCTGGTTCCCCTCGAAAGAAGTCCTGTCCTCCAGCTAGTCTGACTAACACAGACCTAAACTTTAATTCTTCTTTATTTTTGGTTCTAAGATATTATCCAGGAAATTCCACTGACTCACTGTGATACCTTCCACACAGAAAGAATAAATTTTTAAATATATTATATATAAGGCTTAAACAGGATATACAATGTGAAGCTTTAGACAAAGTTAATATTTTAGTCTGGGTACATCCCGCAATGACAATGTAGTCACCTCTTTACATGAAGATGATATATTTGACTCACAAACGTGGAATTTAAGTGTTTCTCAAGCACAAGTGATGTATTTGTACTGACTGATCCACACTTTTTTTCTCTAAGTTTCTTCTTTTGTAACCAACGGCCAATTTTTGTGATGCAACTAGATAAAAACTTGGGTCATAAGCTACCACTATGAAAAAGAGCAATGCTAAACAAATGGAGGTAGAATAGTGTTTTGGTTTTTTTTCCTCTGAATGTCCAACTATAGCTTTTACCCACATCAATCCAATATTATCTAACCCTAGGATACTATGGACTCCTGATTACCAAGATTTAAATGGATATTGGTTTGAACAAACATTACTGTTAAAATGGTACTCAGAATTGTCTTCCTCCATACACCATACACAGTCTCAGCGTTAACCTAGGGAGAAGAAATTCTAAATGTACAAAACTGTCATTATCTTAGATCATACTCCTTTTCCCTATTTTGGCCAACAATAGAGATTTCAAATGTATCATTTTGTACAAAAAGAAAAAGTAATATAGCTCACTATAGACATTGTAACATATCGATAATGAACTCATGAAAAGAATCTTTTTTAACAGTCTTCAATTTCCTCAGTGCTATGGGAAGAACAGAATCTGTAGCATGAAATTTGAAATCTTTGAAAATAGATACATTAATATATAGAAATATTAAGAAGTGTTAAATTTTACCAATATTAAATCAGGCCTATTTCATCAGATCATTTTAGGTTCCTGAAGATAGAAGTTTTGGTGTTTTTAAGCAGGTATTAGAATTATTCCTCAGAAGAACTAACTTGTTTTCTTTTTTTTAAAGGAGGTAACTATTACTGTTTAGCAATGGCACAACAGTTTTATTCAGCCTGAAAGGTCCTCGCTGGCTTTACATAAATGAAGAAGCTTGTGATTCCAGTTTATCTCTGAAACTATTCAACATGAAGTTATTCCAATTGTGTTTATCAGCAAAGCTTTGTTTACTGAAGCTATTCAATCTATGTTATTTTTTTTAAGTGTGTACATTTTAAAAGCAATGATGTAAACTTTGTCTTCTCATTAGATTGACCAGTTTAAGAATATGAGCTAAATTCTAATGGCTAAAGTAACTTGACCATATTTGATGCTTTTCTATGCTCATTTCAGCTTGGCTTTTTGTCTTTTAAGGAAAAAAAAAATAAAGTAGTGTGTTAGAGAATAGAAACTTATATGTATGGTTTCTCTGTTCTACCATATATTAAGTTAAAGTACACCTTCTTTGTTAAAAATGTACTTGCTAAACTTCAACATTAATAAAAGCATTTTGACTTTGTCAATTGTCACTGAGTTTTCATTGTAAATTTCCAACCTCAGTTGTTGAAATATATTGTAGAGTCAGAACAAACCACAACATAGGAACTAAGAAGATATTTGCAAATTTTCCCTGGTTTTATTATTATTTTATTTTTTTTGGTTTTTGCCATAGGGCATGTGTGCTTGCAGGGGCAGGGTTGAGAAATCACTCCCTAAGGGGAATGGCCATGCCACAATCCCTTCTCCTCCATTCTTCTCTTGAGATTTCAGACATGCATGCACACGTGCCTGGGTTGATTTTCAAGCTACCAGGTCCAGGATTCGAACTGCAGTCAGCCATGTGGGAATCCAGTGCCTTAACCACCATGCCACCTGCTGGCCCCTTTCCCTGATTTTATTTCTAAAAAGAAAAAAGAAAAAGATGTGAACATATAACTTATTTCAATTCACCTGTTTAAACAGACTGATATTCTTGTTCTCCTCCTTTGGTCTATTGATTCACACTGGATTGATTTTTCTTGGCTATGTGTGCTTAGTGAACCTGCTTCCAGAAGGAAGGGCTGTACTGGGAAGCAGGAAAATAATGTAGTGACCAAAGAACTGGAAGATCTTTTCTGAATACATATTATTTTCCAAAAGCTTTTTCTAAGGCTACCTTCAGTATAAAACAACACCTGTCATGCTGCCAGATGCTCTGGCATATATGTAATGCTCTGAAAGGCAATCCCACATGGGAAAATTCTCAGTTCAAATCCAGGGAAATTCTCGAGTATACCAGGCACATACATGCCCTTGACCTGGGGCTGGCTGAGGTTGGGGGTGGATCACAGCGTCAAGATGTTGGGAGTCCTGTCTCTCTCTCTTTTTCTCTTTCATCTTTATTGCTCATGGTAGAACTAAATAAACTTCAAAACAAATGAAAACAAAAAAGATATATGTTTACTATGATCCGATGTAATTCCAGGTCTCTCTATATATTCAAATGTACCACATAACCTGGTGAAAAACCAAGAGCAGTCAGCACTGTTCTTCAGTTCATCTTTTTTTTGTTTTTCTTTTTTTTTCTTTTTTCATTTTCTCTTTGGTTTACTTCCAGTAAAATTCTGGATGCCACCCAAATTCTGTCTCACCAAAGGACCTCTCATTTTTTTCTACTTAGTAGGGGTGTCACTTTCACTTTTTGCCTGTCTTGTGAAACATGTGTCATATCCCACAGTACTTCTTTTTTTCCCCATCTTTATGAGAAACAGAGATATGTAGAGATTAGTAATTTTTGATAAGGTCTCTCTGTATCATGATCCTCCTGCCCCAGCTTCACAATGGACAAAGACTGAGGGTGTACAAAACTGCACCAGATGTGCTCAGGTTAGATCAGGAACTGAACCTGAGTCTCTCATGTGGCTACCAGCCTTCCAGCTGTGCTACTTGTGCAACACCTTGGCTGGGCCTCCCATGGTACTTCTAGCTGTCCAACTAGTGATCGTTCATGTTGCTATTTACGCTGATACTGCTTCTCAGCATTCTTTGTTTATGGAAGTGTTTAGAGTCCTGATAGAACCATGTGATATAGAAGAGAAAGTTCGGTAAGGATTTTTGTTTCTGTGCATCCTGCTTTGGTAGTATACTATACCCCTGACCATAATTCAAGAAGCAGGGTTCTAGTAATCAATCATCTGATAGTACAGCCTTGTATTATTTAAAGGTCAATTTAATGAACAGGGGGAGCTTCAGCCATTAGCTGCCCAACTCACATGGTACAGGTGCCCTGTAATACTGTCTGTTTTAAACATCACATGGTAGCAGTTACTCACACTGGCTTAACATTTATGGGGACAGTTCAATTCTGGGTGCTGTGGATGGCTAGAACTTCTAGGGAAGCAGAAGCAACTGTAGAAATTTCCTAGTTGTTTGGAACTTAACATCATTTGTCCATCTGAAGAGACCTATCCAAGAACATACTGGGAGTGAGATCTACCCTGCACCTCCACATCTTCTAGATTAAGATTGCTTTCCATTTTGATGCAAATTCTTGACCACTTCCATAACCTCTCCTCACCACCATCTCCTTCATGACATAAAAGCCTTAGCGTATGCATGTGTGCCCAAAATCCAAGAGGAGAATGTAGAACAGATTGTGTTGTGTCCATTCCCCTGAGTGGTGATTTCTCACTTTCTCTGTCTCTCTCCAGCAAGTGCACACACCCTATGGAAAACAAACAAAAAGAAATAAAGAAAAGTAACTGAATATAGGACAAGAATACCTTCATTGCAGGGCAGCTGATTCACTGTATATCAATTCTTTCTCAGGTATAAACCCCATACTCCTTGGGTTGAAAGGATCAGTGTTACATCTTTTTGTACTGTCTTTGGAGAAAATATAACTTATGTTCATCTTAGGTGTGTGGCTGCAGGAGATGGACCAGCCTTATGCAAACTTCAGGGTCCAGACCTTTTTAACTTCACTGTTTATGGAGTAATGGTGGGAAAACACAGCTGCTGTGCTCACCATAAGACATACTTATGGAATTGTCACTTATAATTATAGTTGGCTCTCGAACAACCCAGGGGTTAGGGGTGTTAACCCCTCACACAGCTGAAAGATGGAACTGTATTATAGAGCACCTTGAATTAGGTTGCCATGAACACATAAGAAAAACCCATTTGGAAGATTAATCTGAGAGCAGTGTGGAGTGAATTGAATGGAAAGGGCACAGGAAGAGACAATTACATGTCAAAAAATAACACTTTCATATTTTCCTACACATATTTCTAATTTAATAGGAGGATTTTGTGTAATCCAGGCTGTCACACATGCTATCAATTTTCAGATACTTAAAATCATAGTTAACTATGAAAATGTGAGGTATTTTGTGGATCAATCAATATGAAGAAAATGTTCTTTGCAAGGTTTGATATTTGGACTTAAGCTTCTACAAACATCAATAAAATCCTAAGCCAGAAACCAAGTTTTACTTGAAATAAAATATTTCATCTGAAAGTCTAGTCAACCTAATTATTTCACTTAACAAGTACAGTCAACCCTTAAATTGCAAATGGCACAACAAAGGAACATGTATGAGCTCTGGCTCCAAATAGGCCTCACTTTCCTTCATACCTTCCAAACTTTCACTCTCACTGCTTTTGGATGTAGGTGGTTCTGGTAGCTTGAGAAGATAAGCTACCACTGAACTCTCATTACTCTCTCTACCATCTGTATTCCCCCATTCAGACTAACCACAAAGTCACAAAGTCAGAGTTCTTACAACATTCACAATTCCCTAAATTTCTTGCTCTCATCACACAGCAGACTAAAATGAGGAAAGAATAATTCCTTATCCTGCTGCTAAGAATAAAATGCTATATTAGAGTATACATGAAATTCAGAATGAGGATCATTTTTCCCTTGGACAAAGTTATTGTATTTGATAGAGAGTTGAGGTTTCTATTCTATTCTACTCTGTATTTATTTATTTCTAAAAGACAGTTTTGTTTGTTTGTTTGTTTGTTTGTTTCATGTTGTGATCTTCCTGCCTCAGCCTCCCCAGTAGCTGGGGCTACAGTTGTATGCCACTGCTTATGGGCTTTAGATTGGTTCAGGCATCAAAACTGGGCCTCCTGTGTGACTTTAGCCTGCTGAGTAGCAGCATCTACTAGCATGCACTACTACAGATTGGCAGATAGCTGGGAATTTTAAAGTGTAGGTGGTTTTATAGATAAGCTAGTTTATGGGTATAACTGCAATTTTAAAATTGATTTAAGAAAGTAAACATTACAAAATACAAGATTGGTATTGAAAAATTTATTTTTTATTTCCAAAAAAACAGATCATTAATGAAAATATGGGACCAGCAGTTAGCGTAATGCCTATGTTGGTGAACTCCCATGTAGTCGACTGTGCTTTGAGTCCTGGACCAGAAGCTTAAACTTGCACCGGTCACATGTACGTGCGTGCCTAAGATCCTGAGAAGAGAATAGAGGAGAAGGGACTGCAGCGTGGCCATCCCCCCTGGGGGGGTGATTGCTCACTTTCTGTCTCTTTGTGTTTCTCTGTCTTTCTGGGGAGCGCATGCACCCTATAGCAATAAAAAACCTCTTCAACCAAAAAATAATGAAAATATCAAACACAATACAATTGGAAATCAGAGGTTGCAGAATAGTATTATCATATAATTGTACTTTTATTTAAGGCACACAGTGAATTTTTCCTACAATTAAAACTATTTTTAATGCTAAAATATTGAGGGGACAGTATTTGAGGTTAAAAAAAATCGGTCATGTATATACACTTTATTCTCTACTTTGACAACTATTTAAGGCTAGTTTGTATTTTCTTCTTATTTTGAAATTCTGTGAATTTTTTCCCTATAGACGCACATGCTTGGAAGTCTGCTTTTCAGCCTATTTAACTCTTCATTCCAGTAGTTAGCTCTAACTTCTTCTGTCTTTGTGATTGCATCCAATACATTTCATTATCCTCCACCTAGTTGTTTGCTATTTGCTTTCTTCTACTGGCTTTGAAATTTCTTGATGTGGTTCTCAAAGACACTAATAGACACATTCACAAAAAAAAAAAAAAAAAA